TGTTGCTCAGAAGCAACAGCCCATATCTCGTTACCTATTTAACCTAGGTCGAACTTTTTGGTGTCAGTGGACTCAGATGATCCAAAACTATTAGGAATTGGCGAAAAATAATTTTTTCTATAAAGCACTCAGAAGGTGACCATAAAGGGTTAAGACTTCTGTCGACAAATTCACCCAGGAAAATGAAAAGCTGTCGCCCACCATAGCAACAGTTACTTCAGGGCCAGCAATTAATTCATGGTTGAGGCAACAACATTAAAATGGCCGTGAGCAGGAGGACTGAAATATGGTTCTGATAAAACTGTACGATTGTGAAATTTTGTAACCATATTTGTGGTTTGCTAGAGCTCGCCACTTGGGAGTTGCAATATAATCAGCCGGTGTGCGAAATGCTCGGTGACGGCGGGGCGGGGAGCAACATATGGCCCATGACGAAAAAACAGTGGAGGTATAAAACGGGGAGAAGGTGAGCAGGGGGGGGGGGCTGATGGGTGCGGGCTGACTTTGCATAAACCGATAGCGTGAAATGGGTCTCCCTGGCGGGGAGGAGGCGGAGGTGGGTGGGCAGGCAGGGCACGGCACAGGACCGGAAGACGCCGACTGCTGCTGCTGCTGGGCGGCTCCTCACAAAGAGCGAGCGAGAGACGGAGAGAGCGAGAGAGAGGGAGAGAGGAGCGGCGGGCGGGGCGGGCGCGTGCCGCCGAGAAATAGCCGTTCGACCCGCCGCCGCCGCGCGGCAGAAGGAGGTGCGCGCGCGCGCTGCTGGGCCGCCGCCGCCACAGAGCGTCCATTCCACTGTCTCGAAATTAAACTACGATAATCTTCGGCAATAATTTGAGATAATCATCACATCACCCTCCCCCCTCCCCAACCTCACCTTTGCCGCGCTCCACCAGAGTGGTAATAGTACTACTACTCCCCCTCCTACTCCTCCTCCTCCTCCTCCCCCTCACCCGAGGCGCTTCTCACGTTCATTACAGCGAGCGGGGCTCTTGCCCGGCCGGCCGCGGGGGCCGCCGGCCCGCCCAGCCCAGCCCAGCCCAGCCCAGCCGCCGTGCATGGCGGCTCAAATAGAGCGCCGTGACGTCACACACAGGACGTCGTCGCACGGGACACACACACACATGAGCGGGGTAATGTGCTCTTCACTTTAAAAATTAAAGCAGATAGAATAATGTCGCAAAGACAAAACCCATTCGGGGTTTGCTATGGCCCCGAAAGGAGAAAGAATGAGAGATAGAGGAAACGGATTGCGGGAGAAGAAATGGAACGAGGGTAAGTGTGTTGCACATCGGCGAGCAACACAGCACAAATCCAGCCATCCTTTCTTCTTCTTCCCATCCGCCCATCCATCCATCGATCTGGCAAAGAGCGGGCGGCGGCTTTGCTTTATCCCCACTCACCTTCGAGCCGCGCCGCCCGTCCGTCCGCCGCCCCGCCGCCCACGGCATGGGCACACGGGGCCGGGGCGCGCCGCGCCACCCACGCACGTAACAGCAAACTAAAGCTTTACCACCCAGAGCAACGACTCTGCCGGGGCTCTATCCTCGGCATCGCTCACTCACTCACTCACGCTCACGCGCGCGCACGCGCGCACACACACACACGCTCGCACGCGCGCGCTCGGTACGGCACCGAGAGCGTGCGCGCCGCGCCGAGGAGAAAGGCGCCTCACTTACTAAGCCGGTCGTGGCTAACAAGCTCTCAAGCACTCATTACGCGCTTCTCCGCCCCGCCCCGCCACGGCCCGCCACGGCAGACGAGCAAGCCCCGCCGAGCAAAAGAGGCTCCACGAAAATGCAGCCGACGCCGCAGCCGCCGCGGCGCTTCCAAACTCACAGCCCTATTACGTTACATCGTGGGGACCGCACCATTTTGACGAGTGCAAGTGAAACTTCAAGTTCCACAGTACTATGTACAGGGAAATATTTTTCTTCCTCATTTTTTTTCCACGACGTAAAGTAGTAAGTGAGTGAGTGAGTGCAGAGGAGCACAGGAGGGGCTTTCCCTGATCTGGCAACACCGGCCCGGGCAGCAGCAGTAGTTCCGACTGAGCGCGCGCGCGGCGTGGCCAGGCGCGGAGCGGGCAGCAGCGGCGGCGGCGGCGGTCGTGGCGGCGCTGCTGCGCTGCGCTGCGCGGGGGGGCGCGGGCGCGGCCGGCCGCCGAGGCCCCCGCCGATGCAGCCGGGCCGCAGCCCCGTGCAGCGGGTTGCAGCGCCCCCGGCAGGCAGGCGCTAGCCGAGCGGCGCGGCGCGGCGGCGCAGCACAGCGGCCTGAGAGCTGAGCGGCAGCGGGCCGAGCCAAGCGAGCGCCGCAGCGGCCCAACAGGAACAGAACGGCGGCAGATGCACCGCGCGTAAAAGCTGCGCAAGTCAGACTCACCTCAATGAGCGTGATGCATAGGATGAAGAGCGGGGGCGGGCAGCATGTGTACTGGTCGGCATATAGCTTGCGGTCGCGTTCCTCGGACAGGAACTCATCAGCAATGATCCGCACCATCCTGGAGAGAGAAAAAGAAAACAGGGTGTTATTATACCACTTTTTAAAACAAGACATATTTTTCTTTTGGTTATCATCATATCGGGCGACATCATCGTCCTCGTTCACACAGAGGCCGAGCGAGTGAGTGAAAATTGCGCCGAGCGTGTAGATCGTTAGCGACAATCTCTCTCTCTCTCTCTCTCTCTCTCTCTCTCTCTCTCTCTCTCTCTCTCTCTCTCTCTCTCGATGCAGCTTTGCAGTCGGCTGACCGCTGTTGCTGCAGCTCGGCCCGCCCAGCAGACTGTGTCCGCCCCCCCCCCCAACCTCTTTCCCTGACCGCAGTAATGATTCGATTCAGTCTCCCACACACGTCGCAGCGCGACATAAAAATTAAGAGGGAATTGGAGGGGGAGCAAAAGAATAAGAAACGAAACGAGGACCTGCGCGGATTCTGAGTCGTCGGCCCCCGCCACGCAACTGCATGCAATAAGCCCCCCCATTTGGTAAAACAAAAACTAAAGACATCTCGAGAGCGGCCCGACAGGTGCACGCGGGAGGGAGTGAGAGCG